TTAAAAACCTCCACGGATGGAGCGCCCACGATTGCTGGAGGTAAGCTCTTCCACTGGTTAATTATCCTCACTTTAGGAAGCTTCTCCTTAGTTCCAGGTTCTCTCTTTGGTCAGTTTAAAAACCATTGTTTCTTGTCCTCTGGTGCTTTGGAGAATAAGTTGACCCCCCCTTTCTTCTTTGAGGTAGTCCCCAAGTTACAACTACTTGTTCAGTGACCGTCCAAAGTTACAAAGGAAATTTGTAACAAGCCCTTGGAGTTCCAGCCTCCCTGTGGTCATGTGATCTGGGTGCATGGCTTGTGATTAGGACATTGCAGCAAGTCCCAGTGATGTGATTGTGATTTCCAATGCTCCCTGCTGACTTTCTACAAGCAAAGCCAATGGGGAAGCTGCCAGGAGGTTGTTCTCGCTGCTCCTGTGCCTTCCTGTGCCCCATAGCACATTCCTACCTGTGGCATCCATGCAGCATGGTCCATACTCTGGAGCACTGATCTGTGGCAAACTCCACCCCCTATATAGCACCTGCCTGAACTCCAGAGTGCCCACTTGTAGCCTCTGCCTGCTTGCCCACGGGCTGCTTGCCTGGGACTCCCACCACTTCCTCCTTAATGATCTGCGTAATCCTCGGGTTATGATGGCAACCAGGACCGCCAGAATTGCCTTCACTAAGCAAAGCAGTCATGTGGTATCATGATTTATGACTGCATCACCAAGGGACAGAATTTGCAGCCCCGATGGCTGGTGTAACCTGAGGACTACCTGCATCTTTGGTGTATCTTTGGCATCCTTTTCTGACACACATTGGAGAAAAAGCTAGCCACAGAGGCCTCTAAAGGCCAAGTTGGGGATATCTTTGGGTTACAATTGTCAAAGTCAGAATTAATCAGCAAAGAATCTGGGTCAATTTGACAATTGGAAATAATTACTGGATGGATATAGATAACCGTGTTTGAATCCCTTAAGACTCCAAATAGGCGTATATTCCGAGAATGGCACTGGCTTCCCTCCCCTTTCTCAAGTGGGAGTTAGCAGAGATTACGCTTGTGTACTTGATAATTTAGGAATTTAATTGGCATTTGTAATGATTGCACTGCTATAGGGCTGAAATCTTTTCACTTCTCCCTGCCAAAACATTTCTCTCTCTCTCTTCTCTCTCTTTCTTTTTCATTCTTCCTTTGGCTTTGGGCACATTTGGTATTTGGAGAGCATGCTGTGGGCTTGTTTACAAAACGGCTGTGACATATACATATTGTAGGTGTGTATTGTGGTCACTGACCCAAATGCAACACTCAGCAGCATATGGAATGAAATAGGTCATTATTAGGTCTCTGAGGCAATTACTGTGTTTCTCTGAAAATAAGTCAGGGTCTTATTTTCTTTTGACCCCTGAAATAAGCGCTTGGCCTTATTTTTGGGGAGGTCTTGATATTTTTGAGGTGCAGGAGGTGACAAGCGGGGTCACCTCATGGCTGTTGCTGTGTTGCAATATTTTCAGGGAGGGCTTATTTTTTGGGGAGGGATTATTTTAGCACATGAGCTCAAAAGCCCGATTGGGCTTATTCTCCGGGGAGGTCTTATTTGTGGGGAAACAGGGTAAACAGACAGTGTCACAAAATTTGGCCATGTTCATAGAAATGGCATCATAC